GGTAATAGGAACATAGAAAAAATGTGAAACTTTCTGTCTTTGTTCTTGCTTATTTTTATTTTGTTTTAAGAAATAATCTGCTTGGCTCAAAGCTTACTGTGTAGCCAAGGCTGACTTGGATTTTTGCAATCTTCCTGCCTCTCCCTCCTGAGTGCAGGGCCCACCACACTTAGCTTAATTTTCTACTTTTGTTTAGTCATAAAACAGGCTAGTTATTCTTTTCAATTTCTTTTAGCTACAGTCTAAATTCGTTTGGACTGTGACAACCTTATAAATGCTGAACTCTGCTTTGAGTTCAAGGCATTTGTAATATCAAATAAGAAAGACAATCTTAGTGTTTTAGACAGGAATTCTTAGGTTTAAAATTACCAAATATCATTTATGTTTATTTGGTTACATTCATAACATTCACTCATCTGTGTTATATACTTATCATTTTTTGAGACAGGAATTCACTATGTAAACAAGACTACCCTCAAACTCCTAGATATCCAATTGCTTCTGCCTCCAAAATGCCAGTATTAAAGGTATATAACACCATGCCTTACTACTTACCTATTTATGTAGATATTTTATAAATACCAGTAATATCAACTTTGAGAAATGTAGTATAAACAAATTTATATTTAGCATTAAGAAAATTTTATATTTGAGTATATGTAGCATGTACAAAATCTTAATATATATCATGAGCCAATATTTAAAGGAAACTTAATTATTCTATGCTTAGTGGGCCACATTGCACTGGACTGGGTATATGAATAGGGGAGTGAATAAACTTACATTTTCTTAAGCATTTTACCTTAGTATGTGCCTAATCGTGCCTATCTGACTAAAATTAACATATCATTAAGACAATTTTAAAATAATATATTAATAATATCGATATGAGTTTTAGTACATATTATTTTATTTCTTGAGCTATTCCTTGGACTGTGCCAACCAAGGAGAACTTCCTGCTGTTCTGGAGTAGCTCTTCTACTCCTTGCTTGTTGCTATCCTCTGGTCAAGTTTCAGACCCTTTCACTGCCATGCTGAGAGAAGGCATGGAGAGATCCCAGACAGAACAAAATTGAAAACAAGAACCCTCATGTATAACCATCCTCAAGTATGGAAGGGAACACCAGGATGGTTTTAAAAGGGCCACTCAGGAACTCTGGAGAGGCTCCATCCATCACGATGCCTAGACATCTGCAGGGCTTCTTTTACCACCCTGCACACTGTCAGTTAATTCTTCAAAGCCTTAATTAGTGCATGTTAATTAATTCAAGGATCTCATTGAAATCTCTTCACTGATGCATATCCTTATTTTTAAAAGCCCTCATCTGAGTGGTAAATGTTTCCCCAGTAATTTCATATCTCTTCCCCCAACTCCCTGGGAAGAACTGTATCTATCCACTGCCTCTGCTGAAACCTTTGCCATAAACCTCAAAGCACATCTGTGTACACTAAGGTGGTCTAACTTCCTTTTTGCTAGTGGATTAGCATTTCAATTTGCCTCAAAATAGGGAACACTATCACAGCATCCAACCCACAACAGAAAAACATCAAAAGGACAGATGAGACATTGTCCCTTTTATTTCTGACCCAAATCACACACTAAGAGAGAAACCTGTCCAAGAATTCCCACTTATGACATGCCTTTTCTTTTGACTTGTTAATTTTTGAAATTAAGATAATGAGATATACAGAGGCTACTGACCATAGATAATATCATGTAAATTAAAATAAGTTTATTTTTTGATTATCAGTTGTACATCCTATAACTGAAGTTGTTTTCCCTGCGTTGTAGACCTGTTTTTCAGGACTATTATCAGGATCAGGTATGATATTCAGTATTATCTACCTCAGATGTCAAGTCTACAAATTGTTTTCTATTCTTGTATATTAATCTTAAAGAGACATTTTTAAAGTCCTTAACATATAAAAGAAAAGGGAAAGATATAATAACAGTGCGTTAAAATTACACAGCAGATTAAATAATAAACAAACAGAAAAATAAAGTAAGCAAATTTTAAAGCTGAAAGTCAGCATTTGGAATTCCGTTAAAAATTTATCAATATTCCCCCAAACCCTTGATTCTAAAATTAGACCTTAATAAATGTTCACTAGTATCATCAATGGTAAGACTGACAGTGTATGTATACATATACTGTTAATTCAAAAGTGGAACTCAAAATTCTACATGAACAATTGTAAATGTAAAGAAACCCTATGATTAATCACCATGTTCTTTCAGAAAAGAAAAAAAAAAACATAGCTTGCACATGAATTCTAAGAAGGCTTGGAATCCCTTCAGTCACTTGTTAGTCTAATTGAACTAGAGGTTATAAAAGAAAGTCTTACTGGAGAAAAATAGGCTAATTATTGAATGTGGGGCCGATACAGGAATCCTGGTAACCGGAGAGGAACAAGCAATGACATCCACCTCAAATTGCTTTTCTGTTTTTCATAGTTGTTTTTCAGTGAATGCAAAATGGGGAGGAAAAATGAACAGCATGGGTGGGCCAGGAAAATACATTTTCATCTCTCTAGTTTTCACATGGGCAGTATTCCCTCTAGAAGTAATTCACTCCCCACAAAGTGAACTTGAACATGAGTTTTTCCAGTGTATTGGCCAACTTGTTCACAAACTGTTCACAAACATGGCTAAACATTGCCCTAGAAAAAATACATTTAAAAATAGGGTACTTTATTTTTGAGGTTGTTCCACAATATCACATTTTTTCATATTCTATTTGCATGTCTAAACTTAATTATGATATTTTATTATAGTCTATAATCTGAGAACTCGGTTTGATAGAGGGAGGGAAGAATTTGATTCAGCTGTTAGCAAGCATGTATTGGCTGCCTCCTCTATGTCAGGCACTGGCTTAGTACTAGGCAGCAGCAAGCAAGGTTCCTACTCACACAAAGATATAGATCAAGGTGGAAATTGGTTTTGCATCTCTGTGGGGGTAGTTTGTATGGCTCACCCTGAACAATATATCCAAGGGGATTTTTCCTCCTTTCTTCTAGTATCTTCCTGAATGTCCTCATTACTAAGACTCATAAAATTATAAAACTGCTACTAAAATCCTAGCTAACTGTTTTATTAATCCCACATCCTCCAACTCTCCAGTGAATGATGTCCTGTTCATGAGATAGGACACTGATACATAGCCCAGTTTCTTTCTTCATGTGAGAAATACCCATGTCTGTGAAAGGCTTGAGTGTATAGCTAATGTGTTGGTATTGATGAATAGCGGCACCTGTGTCATTCAGATCAAGAAATGACAGTCCTAATGAATACCCAAATTATTCCAAATACTAATATATAAAACACAAGGAATTGTGAAAAATTAATAGGTCGAATAGTGTGAAAGTCATGATGAAAGCTTTGAAAATCTCCCGTGAAAGGCATTTTCTCCAGTGCTGAAGATCTCCAAAGAAAGACAATCCTAAATCAACTTTCCTGAGGCATAGTAGTTCTCTCTCTTTTCAATACAGTATTTTCAAGAATTAGTGTAATTCCTCTTTGAGATTGCTTAAATTCATTTTCTCTTCTTTTGTTGTCAGTAGATGCTTGTTAAGCCATTGTACATATTTATTCAAAGAATAAAAGATATCCTGCTCTTCATAGTAATCCTTCCTGAAGATAAAAGAAAACTGAAGACACAGGCTCTGCATTGAGGAGATGTCATTTATCCGTTTGATGAAAATCAAATATAAAAACCAATTATATGATTGGGTTTCCTTTCCTAGTTTATTTTTTTCTAACTAACTGAAAACTACAGAGGTAAATTTTCAGCTTTGATAAAGTGATAGCTACCTAGTCTCGTGTAGGTTGATATAATTACTATTATGTAAGTCTTACAACGCAGTTGACATTGTCTTGCCTTTATATAGATTTTCTCACTTATGTGTGGTTTCTTGTTTAACCACTACAACTACCCTGTGATGTGTTACCTCCATAAGATAGAAAGCAGAAAAGGGAGAGAAATGGCACTTACAGCGATCACACTCTTTGTAATGCTCACATCTGAATTTGAACTCTGGAAGCTGATTCTGGCCCTTGAACTCTTAATTGCTGACAAGGAAAGCCATTTACACCACAATCACACCAAAAAGCTCATTTTCTCTCTTGGTTCAATTGACTATGCCTTTGAAAGGAATGCCTACAGTGTTGGTTTGGTTGACGTTATCTGTGAATAAATGAATTGAGAACATGACAATATTGGTTTCCTTGAAATTTTCTGTCCCTTAAATGGATTTATGCTTATCTTGATGTAAATAACTAATTCACCCTAAAGTCAGTGTCAGCTATATGTTGTATAAATGTGACTATCCATCGTATGCATTTCCTGAAGAAAATATATTGTCAAAATACTTGAGTTTTGCAAACACAATGTAATAGCAGATGGATGATAGTAAGAGTCTGCCAATGAATTTACCCAGTGTGTTATTTGATGTCCAAAAAGGCCTGTGATTATCCCCAGGCAACCAGAACCACCTTGCCCCTTTAGAAGTGCGTTGGTCAACAAGAGTATAAGACAGCATTTATCTGCAAAACTCAAAAGTAAAGCAAGTGCCACCACCAAAGACTGAATAGACTAGTGAAGACTGCTTTACATGTAGTAGTTTTATGTCCCCAACAGTGATCAGCTATTAGCTCAGCACAGTGCAACACAGGACTTTGGTGTTTCAGTTTTAGTGGGATTTTGATGGATTTCACCATGTCAACTTCTCATAGTTATTTTGCAAAGGAAAGGTTGGCAATTGATGTATCCATATCATTATCTGTACCTACATACCTCTCTGCGTCGGTTAAAAATAATTCAAAAGGTTTATGTTCAGTGAGTTGATAGCTGAAATTTATTTGTTTGAAAAAAAACTTTATACAACAAAATCAATGAAAGTTTTATGTTTTCATGATCTACTTGAAAATCCTATGAACTGCAGACAAGTTGTGCATATTCAAATGCAAAATCTAGATTCTCACTGCTGTTCTCTACCCACAGGTTGTATATAAAAATAATGATGTAAGGCTGGAATTATCTCGACTTGCCAAGCAGGGAGATCCTAAGATGAAGATCCATGGAGTGGTGGCATTTAAGTGTGAAAATGTGGCGACGTTAGACCCAATAACTTTTGAAACCCCAGAGTCTTTCATTTCTTTGCCTAAATGGAATGCAAAGAAAACAGGCTCAATATCATTTGATTTCCGTACAACAGAGCCAAATGGCCTGATCTTGTTCAGCCATGGCAAGCCAAGACATCAAAAAGATGCCAAGCACCCACAGATGATTAAGGTTGACTTTTTTGCTATTGAAATGCTGGACGGTCACCTGTACCTCCTCTTAGACATGGGGTCAGGTACTATAAAAATAAAAGCGCTGCAGAAGAAAGTGAATGACGGAGAATGGTATCACGTGGATTTCCAGCGGGATGGACGGTCAGGTAAGTTAACATTTTACTGTGCTTTTACAACCTCCCTCCCACCCCCTGCCATTCTGAAGAATTATAACCAGGACCTATTAAAGGTTTGCTACATTAAAATATATTGCCAGTTGCTGTTTCTACTTCACCTCTTGTAAAAAATCAGGAGACTAATTAATCATGCTTCAGCATCAAAAACCAAGTGATTAAATACCTTCAGTGTCTTAAACAAACATTTCTTTTTAAATATATTCATTTATTTTTACATCCAGATCACAGTTTTCCCTCCCTCCTCTTTTTTCACTCCTCTTCCCCTCTGCCTCCTTCCCCCAATCCACTCCTCTTCTGTTTCTGTTCAGAAAGGGGCAGGACTCCCATGGGTATCAAAAAAGCATCATCCCCCCCCTCCCCGCCCTCGGCTCATAAAATCCTTCCTCCCTTTCTTCAATAGAATTTCCCCAGCTTGGATGGTGTTGGCTACGGATCTATGCATCTGTTTCCATCACTTACTGGATGAAGGCTCTCTGATGACAATTGGGGTAGTCCCCAATCTGATCACAGGAGATGGCCAATTCGGACTATGTATCCACTAATTCTAGGAGTCTTAGCTGGGATCATCCTTGTATATTTGGGGCTGTTTCCCTTGTACTAGGTTTCTACCTGACCCCGAAATGCCCTCCATACCAAGACATCTTTTTCATCTGCTCCCCAACCTGATCCCTCATGTTCCCACTCCCACCCACCCCAATCTCCCAAGGAGATCTCTTCTTTTTACCCTTCTCGGGAAAATCTGTGAATCCTGCTTTGGGCCCTACTCATTACTTAGCCTCTCTGTGATTACTCTAAGCAAACATTTCTTAGCTGTCAAGTGCTACATCTTTCAAGAAATTTTATCTTGAATTTGTAGATGGCAGAATTTGGAGTTCTTATAGTCTCAGCTATGCTTCTATGTCATTGGATGTTTGAACATACCCTGAAAAATGCAAACACAAAATGTATGAAGAGAAAATGCATGAAAATTTATCAGGGTTGTGGAGAAATTTACTGCGTAAAACACTTTTGGTATTCCAAGTTACCTCTCAGCCACCTTTTCTTTAGATATTTGATATTCTAACAGCAGGTGTTAACCCTGGTTTCATTTTCTGCCCTTTATTCCTTTATGAGGGTGGCAGGGAAACTTTCTCACAATAAATACTATTTCACTGCACTTTCAATGTTGCTCAAAGAGATTAGAGTTTGGCTAGTGTGAACTTAGAAGAAAGGAAAAATAAGCAGCCATGAAGATACTTTTTATGCACTAAAATGAAGAGCTGGAAAGTAAGAACATAGAGAAAGAGCTTGGATGACAGGTACCGAATAGGTGGAAATTCATAACCCAGTGCTCTGACCCTGACTTATAGCAGAAAATCAATTTTGGATTTCACAATCTTGGGAAATTTTGTTCCCTCGATGTCATTGCCCTAAAAAAGTTGGGGTCAGCTTCATTTATGTATTTCTTATGTGAGCTATGAAGTATTTACTGATTGGGATGCGGACAAACATTAACAAGCTCTTCCGTGCCCCATGCTCTCTGGAAGAGTTAGTACTGAATTTGATCCTTAGTAACTCTCAAATAAAAGAATTAAAATGAATGTGGGAACAAGGCATGATGGAGTGCTTTGAAATATTAGATTGTAGATGGCACCAGGACTCCATGTATATCTAGAATGAAATTTTGAAAATGACTTTGAAGAAGAGAGAGATTTGACTCATATTTTATGACACAATTTTGACTCATACTTTATAACAGAGCAAAATAAGACAAATCAGATTCTCTTGTCATACTTTGGAGGTTCAGAAAACTGAAAAACCAGCAAACTTCAGATCAGTTATACTTTATCTAGAAATGAGATACTAACAATATAAAAATCAATGCATGATAACTAATTAATAAGTTATTAGTTAATGCAAAGGAATGTGAGACCACCAAAGCCCTCTAGAACCCATTTCATAGCAGACTTGCATTTGTAGATACATCTTTTTAGTCTATTTGAATTACTACAGATGGAAGAATATATACAGCTGTGCTTATATATGTAGTATACTCACACACACACAAGTACATAAACACATGTCTGTCTTTAATACACATAGAAACATTCGCCTAAAGGGGAAAAAACCCTGATGAACTTTTCAATGGAGTCCATTAAAAACCTTACCAATTATTCAAATAAATGCCATAATTCTCAAGGCAGAGGACATCTATTGTTTTGTACTTGACCTCTGTATTTTACCATAATTACTGAAAGTTTATTAACTCTTGCATTTAAATTTTCATTGGTTAACACCAGAAGCAGATAGCATCACTCTAACTTATATAACTTGGTTTTGTATTGAATCAGAATCAATAGCAATATTATCTAAGTTTTATTTGCAAACTAAAAGAGCAATTGAAGCATCAGAGTTTTGGTGAGATTCACTGGAAAGACGGAAGTGACTATGGTTGTTGGTATTTTGATGCAAATTAATTTTATGTGATTAAAATCTCAAATAAGTGAGTTGAAACTGTGAAAACCAAAGCAAATTTTTGCCCTTCAACAGATTGAAGAAGGTAGCTCAACTCCTGCAAGCCTCACTCAAGGGAACTTAATGCCATTTTAATAGCTGCAGCTGTTAATATTTTATACATAGTATCTTAATTAAGTTCTATATTTGCCCAATGCATTAATATGACATAGACCTACCCTTTAGATTTTGAATGAATGTATATATAGTTTCATTTTATCTAAAGAGTATTTTGAATTTTGCTGTTGAAATACAAGCATTTGTAGCTGAGTTCAAAGTAAGAAACATGGAATCTCAGAGTTAAATTTACCCATTTTCATATCAATTATATCCAAATATCCTATGAAAATAATTTTCTATATCACAAAGAAAAATAGGATGACGATTTCAACAGCACAGTGTGGGCTGTCTTACTGTGATAAAAGAGGGTTCATTGAATTCCCTGGGCAACCCCTAGCTAAATGCCCCAAAGCATTTAGAAGGCTATATTATTTGGGTTGTTAAAATAGAGGGTCTAAGCCTCTGAGTTACTCCCCCACCCCTTTTGAGACAGGGCTTCTCTGTGTAACAGCCCTAGCTATCCTGGAACTTTCTTTGTAGACCAGGCTGGCCTCGAACACACAGAGTTCCACTTGCCTCTGCCTCCCAAGTTCTGGGATTAAAGATCTACACCACCACCACCCAGGCTGAGTTACTCTTTTAGCAACTGATGTCACTGAGTTAGATAATGAGTACAAATATCATAGAGCTATTTTATGTCATTGTAACTGCTAATTTTCTTGGTCAGAGGTAAAATTAAAGTAATAGTAGTAAAAAGAACTGAAATTTGAATATTTCCAAAACAGTTTATAAGGGAAACTCATCCATAAAATAAGTATAGTTAGTTTGTTTCTATATTCATAGTTCCTAATTTTGGGGGCATGAAATACAGCTGGAAATAAGGCAGATACCTTCAGATACACCTCTATCCATATTCTCTCTCTACCCCCCCTCTCTCTCTGTGTAGTATGTCCTCTCTCTCTGTGCACACACACACACACACACACACACACACACACACATACACACTGTCAAGATACTCTTCAAAAGATATGATTTTTTACATTTGAAGAATAGCAGCAATCTTCCTTGTAAATGCAGCTTCTTTTAAATTTATAATTTCATTTGATTGCCTCCTTTTAAGCCATTTATACAATATAGAATAGCAGGCACTGCCCTTTTATGAAGACAGCAAGAACTTCTGAACCCAATGTCTGAAAAAAATTCAAACAAAAAGGTCAATTATTGTTAGATATCTTTGAGAGCCTGGTACAGGAACAGCAAGCTTTGATGAGAACAGGACTTTGAGTTCTGCTTGTTCACAAGATCCCTATATTGTTAAGCAAATATATAGGGAGAATGAAATTAACCAAGGTGGAAGGGATTATCTCCCGGAGTACTGGGCCAGGCAGCAGTGAGTGACAATGAAGGCAATCACCCAGGCCACCCTTCTTCCTAGTTGTCCATCCCTGGGTCCTCTGTTCACAAAAAAAAGGGGCGTGTGAGGCCCTTAGAGGATGAAAAATACTACATTAATTTGAAATTTTTATGAAATTTTATTATGGGGAGTGGCTTTTGAGCACAGTTATAACATACAAGATATTAAAATAATTAACGAAAAATGATCTCCATGTGTGAAGCAAGGTAGTAGGTAGAGACATGGGAGGGACATAGACAGCTAAAGGGCAAGTTCACCTTATAACCTAAACAGAGGTCTTATTAATGGTTGATCAAGCATTAGGTTCCATCTAAGTGTGGTAAAAACTAATGACTAAGGGAAAAACTTGATTCTGAGTTTTTACCCACCTATGATGTATCTTCCATTCCAAAATGTAGAGAGGAACCACACACTCTGACTACCCCATTTTCATAGAACTTAACTGCACCAATTTCTATAGACAAAGTAGCATCCTTCTGTTGTCTACAGACTTTACAGTTAGTGGCATGGGAGGTGAAGGGGCTGAGTTATCAGCACATGGCCACAACAAACCCTGAAATTAGATGGCAAAGGAGGAGCCATGCAAAGTCCAGGCTTGATCTGGTGGATTCCAGTGGACAATTCAAGTCCTGGAAAAGCAGTAATCCTCTGTACATATCTTAGCTGCTGGGATAAGAGCTCTTGGCTGTTGAGTTAATAGGTACAGTGTAAAGGTTCATATTCTTGCCAACTTTTCAGGCCATCATTCCGACAAAACTTTCCCAGTCCTCCTCCCTTTGCAGTCCTCCCTGTTCTCTCTCAGCTGGTCCCAGTTGTGACTTTAAACAACTGCCCAGGTATTTAGCTAAAGTGTGAATTGTTCTACAATTAGGATGAGGTTAATGACTGTTTTCTGAGGGCAAGAATATTGTTTAAATTCATGTTAAACTCTTTGGCTCAGTCAAGGATACCCTCTCAAGAATTTTCATAGCAAACTGCCAGTCATTTTTTTCTTCCCTCT